ATCAATACAGTATCTAAACAGCTGTAAGTTAGCTGCTTTATGGTGCTGAGGACCAAGTGATTCCAAGTCCTTTCTACAACTTTGGATTTGTTGTTAATAAAAACACTATGACTGGCTGTATGTTAGCAAAGATGCTTTTTATTGTTGATCTTTAATACAGAAACAGACCAACAGATGCCCACCAAGATGAACACAGGGAGAAAGTTGTCTCATACTTTGTAATCCCTGTAATTAGTTTGAATAATCTAAAAGTGGTAATTCTACTATACTGCTACACAGAACCTTATTATACTAGAAATTGAGCAGATCTTTAGTAATCAAGTTATGATTATCAATAATTATTTAAATCACCCAATGATGAATTAATAACTGATTAATACTTGAGATTCTTCTATTTTCTAACACTTCCACTCACTGGATCTTAACTACACTGTCACCTTCTCACTTCTCATTTTTACGGGACATTAGAGGCAAATATGGAAATTTAATTATCAATACAGTATCTAAACAGCTGTAAGTTAGCTGCTTTATGGTGCTGAGGACCAAGTGATTCCAAGTCCTTTCTACAACTTTGGATTTGTTTTACTATTTTCTGAAACCACACAAAGGCATCTGTCTGTTCTTAAAGTTAACTTTCAGTGGGCTCACAAGCTGTGCATCTTGGTATGTGCTAAGAGTGTACAATCCAAGCACACAAAATGTTTTATCAGCTCATCTGGAATTATTAAAAAAAAAAAAGCTCTTAAATGTAATGAAAAAGATTACTCTTAACTTGGTAGTATTTAGTGTCACAGTAAGAAACAGCAATATCTTCCTGAACACTAATTTCCTAAAGGCTCTGTATCAGTGTGGTATATCCCTGTATTTAAAACTCTGCAGGCAAATTCTTGATTAGTAAATCTATCTTTTTGATGAAGCAAAGACATCTCTTTGGGATGAACATGCGTGCTCTCTTGAGAGAGCAATACTTAAGTTACTACTGGCAAACGCATTGCTACAGTTATTCCTGGGTGGTTCAATTTGTGTTGAAAGCTGCGGGATTACTAAATGCAAACACTTAAACATTAGAGCAGTGGACAAGAAAAACATGCAAACTAAAAGTTCTTCCAAACAAGTTTGGAAAAAATCTTCAGAAAATGATCTACCCTGTAAAAGGTACCTCCCAAATGTTAGGTGTCAGTGTGCCAGATGAAACAGGGCTAAAGGGTCAAACGCATGAATGTTGCTTCATTAAATCATACTTGAAGAATAAATCTTACTGCTATTTAGCTTGACATTAGGATTGTAATCTTTCGGCGTATTACTCCTGGTTTACATGATCTCCCCTGACGCCTGTTACAACAGTGGGCCATCCTGATTGTTTTTGGCACGATGTCCCATTCAAAGCCTGTTGAAATCAATGAAGGAATGGCTGTTAACTAGAGCAGGCTTTCAATTAATGATGGGTGACAGCTGAAAGTTAAGGTGCTATTTTTATCTCAGTATGATACTGTAGTGTACCACAGTACCATTAAGACATACCCAGAGAAGAACAGAAAGGTCTCATATGCTGTGAGCAAGCTCTCTCCCTTCTCACCAACCTTCCCATTTTCTGAAATCCCTCAGGGACCGAAACCCGCTCCTACCTCCCACTGTGTGGCCTGCAATGCAAAACGGCGCTGGGCTTGAGCACAGGGCCATCCTGCCAGGTGCTGTACCGGAGGAGTAACAGCTGGTGAGGTACTGCAGGCTCAGACTTTGCACCATCACACGTATAGTCATGAGGAAAACCTGCAATGGGACGAGTCATCTCAAAGCTCTATAGTGTGTACAGTTTGGGAAGACCTGGCCTTTCGATTACTGTCATGAGTTTATCTGCGCTTTACATGCACAATGCTTCAGTTCCGACACGAATCCCAATATTACTTCCAAATAGCTGCAGATAAGTCCTGAAAAATTATTTATCTAGATAATGGATTTCAACTCCTTTAGAACACTTAATTTAAATGAACACACAGTACAGGAATGAAATTAAAAGATTTAAAGAAAGTAATACAGTTTGAGAATAAAAATGAAGCTTTGTTCTTGCATCGGAATGTATTAGATCTTGCAATTTGCATATACAAATAATTCAGCAACATTCACCGGCATTAAAAACACAGCAAGATCAAATTATAAATGTAATAAAAGAAAATAATAGTAGCTGAAACTGTATAATACAGACATATATTATAAAGATTTGACAAATTAAATACAATTTGGTTATACAGAAAAGTTTCAACAACTTTACATTAAAAATGGTACTAAGGAAATGAAAACATTTCAAAATACTGAACACAGGTGGTCAGGCTCATTTTAAAAGTTTAAAAAACTGATACATAAAAATACCCTAAAAAACACTGGTAATTACAGTATGCATTCTTCATTAAGGCCCAATTCAGCAAAGCACTTAAGGGATTGCTTCAGGAACAAAGGACCTATGGTACTTAAATGTTTTGTGGAATAGAGATGTCATAAAGCAAATGCTTAAATGCTTAGGTGAACTGGAACCTATGTTAACACGTGAAAAGACAGTGAAGTCACATAGTGACCAAAACCATATACAGATCAGAATGTACAACTTCTAATCAACTATTTGGCATTTTAAAGTAATTCCATGCAACACGGGAGAATTTTAAAGGAAAATTCTTATCTATCGATACCAAGACACAGCTCCCCAGTTACTAGGCTGCTGCAAGGAGCAGTCTACTGACTATACACAAGAACTGGAAAGCAAAGCTTTTCAAGTTATAAAAAGTCATTATGTAGCTATATTTGTGACTTCTGCAATGTAGGTATTTCTGTTTCCTCCTAGATATCTTAATATAGTTAGCAACTAAAATCTGAGTACCCACTTAGTATTTCATGTTTCCGCTCAACTCCGTCCCCCTACCTGCTGTAACTACGACGAGCTGCCTGCGCCCTGAGGAACGATCCTCGTAGTAAAGCCCGCGGGTAGGCGGAGTTCTGCCGCAGCTCCTGCCGCCGTCAGCGGGCCATGGGTCCCCGCTAACATCACACCCCTCTGCCATTGAGCTCAAGGGTTTTGCTTCACATGGCAACTCTTAACCCAAGCTTTTATTTAAGGGACCCAAAAGGCTGTCCAACAGACAAATTATTTTTCCATTGTAGGCTAAATGTTTGGAAAGATCCAGACATTGGGATCTACTAGGACTATAAAACATGCTGCTTTGGAAAATGGTGGGAATTTCTTTGCATTATTTTTTGCTGTCATCATTTAACCTCTCTGAGTCTCCCTGTGCTACAAATGATCATACTGAAAACCTCACTGTATTCATTTCAATAGCGAATTTATTTGATGGCTTTTGAAAATTTGATAAGATTTTAGCATGCGGTAGTAATGTAAAATTACTTAGCATTCGTTTTTGTTCCTCAACTCCATCTGCAGCTCGAGTGCATCTTCTCACAGCAACTCACAACAAAGGTTTAGTCTTTAAACAATCTTTAAGTGCATAATTTGCTGTACAAATAAATACAGAAGTGCATTGATGGGAAGACAAGAAGCGGTCAACGGCAGCGTTCAGAACAGTGTGCTTAGACATTTCTAAACTGCACTTTTTCCATTCAGTATGACATGAAAGGAGAGGTACGAACACCTTCCCGTTTCCTTGCATTGTTACAGAGAATAATGTTATTCGCTATCAGAAATGAAAAATGGTCATGTGATAAAATAGTGCAACAATTGAAATGATTAGCGCAAGTTGCTTATTTTAAATAAGGCTTTTATGTTTGCATTGAAAAAACCCAACCAACTGGACAAGACAGAACTATTGCATATTAGTTATGTAATTAAAGTACATATTCGCATACTTTGTGCTCATTAATTCATAGGTGCATTTTAAAGAGTGGAAAAGATATACTTCTAAATTATTCAACATTCGGATGCCCTGTGATTTTTGGATTTTCTAACTCCCCCCAAGCATATCCTGTTCAGGGCTATGATAAAGACTTTTAAACTTTATTTCACCAATTATATTATCAGTAGTTACTTTCATTAAAAATATATCTATATACACAATCATATATGCCTTTCAGATAAAGGAAACATTCCTTTTTTGATTATACATACGGGAGGGTAAAAACATAGAGGAGCTTTTTGCTACAATGCTTCACGTTGCTAGCATGACACTATTAATCAAGTGTTTTTTCAAAATCTTAGCAAATACTGTTAATTATTCTGTTGAGTCTAATCAGAGAATAAGAGTTCATCTCTTTCGCATTTTCTCAAAGTGGGAAATCATGCACGTGTATACAGAGCAGCTTTATATCCATTTCTGACAATGGCTATAGAGCTCCTTCAAGTAGACAAGTTCAGGTGCTGCAAAATATACTCTTCTGATATGTAAAATATTTTCAAAACAGTGGTAAACTGACATTACTGTTTTTCTAAATTGATTTAAGCTGGTGTAATATTTAGGAAAGAACAAAACAAATGGATTTTGAAAGCTGTATTAAATCAAAAATTCAAATCTGTTACCTATACTGATTATATCGTATTGACAGTAAGACTAAAAATAGAACTGCCATCAACCTGGAGGTTCTTAAAAACGGACCTTAAAAGCAGTTCAGTTTTTCAGTTGGACTGTACATTATTACACCCAAAGGGCCATATTCTGAAACCTTTATCATTAATAGCACTTCACTCGAACTGTCTCTGCCTTCAACGAGACTAGTTGTGAAATAAATTACAAGTAAGCCTGAGCAGGTTTTCAGAACATGTCCCCAAATAAATGTCTATTTTCATAGTGAAGAAAGGTTTACGGCCAAGTCATGTTTAGTTTAAACATATGTACCACAATTCACGTTTTTTTGGTATGAAATGTAAATCACCTGGGTAAAGTTTCAAGAATTGGGAGATAACGTTACTGATAAATATTTATAAGTGGAAAAATTCAAAGAAATAGACCCTTAAGAATTACTGTTCTTTAGAATAAAGATTTCTATACCATCTTATAGTGATATACTGTATATGAACATTATACTTCTCTTTAGAAGGTATTTATATTTAAGAAATAACTTTATACAGCAAATGCAACTTTTAGAACAAACATAAGGTCATATTTACAGTAAAGTCAACAATCAAGATGACATGGAATAAATTAACAGAATATACAACTATTTATACAGACAAATTAAAAAATAAGGCAGGAATTTTCATTTGAAATTAGCATAATCAGAAAATATATCGATGAAATCTTGTACCACTCTGTAGCAGAATTCATACTGTTCCTGAAAAACAATAAAAAGGTATCAAAATGTGCTTCGGTTGCATCGTACGATTACATTGGAGAAAATCACACCTGTGCAAATCCTAGTGATAAATGCAACGCTTTCTAACTGGGACCATTGCTTGGACCAGTAGCTGAGGACTGGTCTGTTCTGATTTTTATTTACGTGCTTAATTTTAAAAATAAAAGCAACGGTGCCTTGCTCTTTTGTCAAATACAGGCTCACTGTTGCTTGTCAGTTAAAATGGTTTCTTTAAGCTTTCTAGGTGATAGTCCTTCAAATGAATGAATTCTCAGGCCCGTCTTCTCATTTAAATTGCGCAGCTCACTGTCACCCAGCTCACGCTAAAGCAGGTAACTCCTCCTCTGCCTTCCCCAGGGGGCCTGGCTGTTTAACTTTGGGCTCCATCTTCCCAGCTTTACAGCAGAAACTAAGTGACAATGTAACTTTAAACATACACAACGTAAAAAACCTCCCGAGTTCATTTTTCTGAAATGGAGTTCCCCTTGCAAAGGCTGTCTGTTCAGCCGCTGCCGGCGATAGCCTGCTGGCTAGTCCTCTGCATCCTAAAGATGGGACACATCCTGATCTTCCAGGCATGCCGATTTGCCTTCAACATGATTTGCTGGATTAGAAAATCTGTAACACCACCGACAGTAAATGGAACTGGCATCTGAATTCGCTCATGCTGGAAAGCAGAGTTTAGCAGAAGCCTTTCCGCAGGCTCAGCTGGGACTATCTGTAGCAATTACACCCCTAACTAACATTATTAAACCACAGAGCCAGAACCCCAAAAGAAATATTTCATCCCTGTCTCAGCGTGACTGTGGATAATCCAATTCCACTTCTTCAACCCCTTTCTTCCTATCTGTAGTATGGAGAAAGCACCTGCCTAAAAAAGGTGTCTTGAGATAAATTGTCTCTAAAGACGTTTCAAATCACGGAATGGATGCTGCTATCAAAATACAAAATATCAGCATTTTTATATATTTTCCAAAAAATAAGTCTCAAAAAAAAAACTTTGTCATGTTTATTAATAGGGAGAAGTGTCCGGACCTAGCTTCACATATTACTTGTGGATGACTTTAAAGAAATCAAAGATATTTCTCCCTTTCAGTGATCAACGGCAAGCCAGTTTAAGCCCAGACACTGTAAGGTAAGAAAGAACAACTGATACATAGCTTAAAAGGCATTTACTTCATATGTTTTGTCACCTGCAACACTCAAAGGATTTTGGTTTAACTGTCTCCAGTTCCTAAAAGACACGGAATGTTTAGCCAAGTTGTATTTTTAGAAAAAAAATCTGTAAAAACACAGATTTACTATAAAACCTTGTACATACACAGCCATCATACGTAATTTATTTCAACCTGCAAAAAAAATCCTTTGTTCTCCTCCCACAAGAATATTTACAAACATACATCCTTTGACAAAGATACGGATTGTTAAATATCATACCAGTGTTTGCACCATATGTGGCCTTTGCAGTCTTAAGCTCTTCACAGCTTGAAACACATCTAAGAGCCCTTCAGCCTTCACTCGCTCCAGAATATTGCTGAGTGCTATGAACGTACCTGTTCTTCCAGCGCCAGCACTGCAACGTAAACATATTTGCTTGACATACAGTAGGATAAAAATGTTGAAAGAGAAGGAATAGTGATACAGACGAGCCAAATACTGTTAGCCAACTTCTACTCATTTTTTTTGTGCTTAGTTTGTCACCTCGGCTATGCTACAGGGGAGCTGGAATTAACGGAGTTAACTGGGAGCCGGGCTGGAACCCGTGAAGGTTCGTTCCTGACAGCTTCTGTGCGACGGTGGGAGACCCTGAGCTGGCTGCGGCAGCACGTGCTCACCCCCAGCCAAAGCTCGAGACTCCGCCAATGAGCTGGCAAAGCTGCTTACTCAAACCCGCATCCGTCTTCAGCAGAGATAGCTTCTGGTGCTCCCACACTCTGCTTTCGGTTTTACTTTTGATGGGGCAGAACGCAGCCGTTAGACTTCCAACTGCAAAATGTGGTTACAAGGCGAAGCAGCGCTGTGCGATCGAACCCACATTTTGCTGTTAGGTTGTGAATTATACTAATGCGCAGTGGACAGAGATGAAAGAAGAAGTTATTATTGTTTTATTATCATTATTACTATTCCAAAGCAATTTGATGGAAAATGTAATGATTTTAATGACTTACAATCTAAGCCGTTTCTTAAACAGATGTATTAATGTAAGTACAAACTAAAGCAAGACTACATATGAGGCTATAGTACATATAAGAAACTAAAATCAACTGTTCTGCCTCTATCTTGACTACAATAAGCAACTACTGTACTCCAAAGTAACTGTGGTTTCTTTTGTTGCAGTATGTTTGACTCAGTATATTTTGTCCTTACATCTGTTTCAGATCACGATTCCATGGAACCAAAATATATTCCAGGAGCTGCCATCTGATTTGTTATGCCTAACTCTAGAGCCCAAAAAAATTAGTTTTTAAAAAGATTGCTTGCTTTCTCCTAATCACACTAATTAAAGACTATTTGACACCAACAAAACAGTGCCTGTGCACTGGAATGCTAATAGCTTTGATAGGGAAGAGTTACTAAAAACAGGTTGGGATTGGGAAATTGGCAGTCAGCGGTAAGATGGAGTGGAAGGTTCACTGGATTACCGAATAAGCGTAATCACAAAATACTTTACTAAATTTAACATTTTCCAGGTGTTTTAACCATAAAATTGGTGAATTGTAATCATGTGTCATTGCTACTACCTTATTTCCATCAAACACAAAAAAATCTGATAAGCACAAGCCTTATGAAAAGATTAAGTGCAAATGCCCGTATCCTCAGCCGGATACATTAAACACCTCACTGGAGGAAAAAAGAACAGGTACAATGTATTAGATGTGTTATTTCCTTCAGACAATTACTTTTATCAGATTAAAGACAAATACAAAATCTAAAAGGGTTCAGATTTATTTGTAATTAGCTAATCTCTGGTAGCCATCTGTGGTTTCTAGAGTAACCCGTGAGCGATGCACTATTGAACAGGTCTACAACTATCAAAAGATGAGGACATGAAGATATAAAGTAAACCTGTACACACGCATATATCACACACGTTGCTTATTCATTTATGCCGAGAAGAGGCAGATGTGCATTGCTGTGCACCCCGTGTTTAACGCTCCCTGTGCTAGGCTCACTCTCTTTTCTTCTGAAAACACGCTTTTAGCAAAACCTTAAAGCCCATACAAGCTTGGTTGGTTTTTTTTTTATTAATTTAAGAATTTTTAGTAGAGATGCATGAAAATCTAAACTGCATTTGAAATGCAGGAGAAAAATATGTATTGTCTCATGGGAACACAGCACTACTCTTTGCATACTCACTTCTCTTTCTGCAATTCCCTTAAAAAAAGAGTTAAGAAAGGTAACTTTTAAATTTGACACAAAGTTCATTTCCTGAGACTAAGCTCAAAGGCAAAGGACATGCAGAACGGGCGAAGACCAGCCAAAAGGCAGAAGTAAGGTGTCTCTAAAAAACACAGCAGTCTTGCATAGTTTATTAGTGTGGAAAGGAGATGGTGAAGATGCAGAAAGCTTAGGCAGCCTTGAACTAAAGAGAAGGCAGCTGCAGACACGCCGGCAGAGGAGGGAGTTACGATTTAGAACAGATTGGCTTTGCATTCAGTTGGCAACCTAGTCAGCAAAACCCTTTTAAACTATTTAGGGTTATGTCTTGATTCTACTTAAGAATTATCTTTCTTAGCAGCTCCTTAAACTGTTTGTAAATAGTTGGAAAAAAATGAACAGAAATTTTCACAAGTTCAGTGAACACTCTGGAAAATCAGTCTGAGACTTGAAATGTGTTTACTTATTCATAAAGTTACATTCATTTATATTTGAAGACCCCAGTATGACTTCACAAAGAAGTTCAAGTAACTCAAAAGCTGTGATGTACAGGCTGTCCAAGTAGGGACAGGAGAGAATTCTCAATGCTAAAAATCCTAGAATACATTGTGTGGTTTGTGTTTTATTTTCCTGTTTAATCCATTTCAAAAGGATTGCAGTAGATTTTAAAAAAAATCTATGAAAAATGCATGCCAAATGATTAAGCTAAGGCTTCAGAGAGGCTGCAGGTCTAAAAGTTTGAAAAATATATACCTCAGATTGATATGCATAAATGCATAAGAACTAAGACATTAGTTTTTATCTCTTATTTTACTGGAAAAAACTCCTTGATATTTTACCCACTTCAATTATCATTCAGATTTTTAACCCCCTAGCATTTCAAAAGAAGTCGCTGTTAAAATTTGTCAAATTGCAGAATTGAACACAAAATGTCATCACCACCACTGAGTGCAGCCACTATGGAGGGGGGGGGGAAACCCACAGTCTCCTAAAGAAAATGTAGGAAAACGGTGAAGAGCAAAACACTTTTGAAGCAAGGAGGAGAAAGTCTGAGCAATGAATATGCATTGGTACAAGATCGTGTCCCAAAAGACCAACAAACCCACGTCCTGGCTCAAGCTCCCAGGATCTCTTTGCTTCAACAGTGCATGAACAATACAGGTGACACTGCAGACAGCCAAACACAAACCATAGTTCTCAGAGACTGAGACAGGACCTCTGAAACTCAAATCAGAGCAAAAGAAAAGTCAGTGTACTCTGCAGAGAACAGCTGTTAATATGCCCATTCCTATTTCTAACTCCAGTAGCAAGCAGACAGGTTCTTCTATCAAAATACTCCCCAACGGTCTGTGAGTCTACTTCCCTGTAGATAATGCTACAAGAACAATTTCAGTGTCACAAAAATCAATATAGTATTTTTTTTTTCAGAAGAAAATAATACTCAGTTAATAATGCAAAACCAGATGGATACTCTCCAAAATGCAGGAAAAATCCAGAAGCAGCACCATATTATCTAGCTCACTGACAGAAGGTTGGAGCAGCTTATCCATGCAGTAGTCAGTCATAGGGGGTTCTCTATCACAGGGTAGGTGCCGAGCATTTCTCAGTAGTGGGATCACAGACAGGTAGAGAAAATATCACAATTAATATAACACACGTTGTTAGATATAAAGATGTCAGGAGCTGACCTCCATGTATTGCTAGATGACAACCAATGGTCCAGCAAAACCAGTTTACCTTGCCCAAGAGATTTAAAAGGCCAGTATTTAGCAAGAATTAAATAATGGATTTTCAGGGTAATCAGAGACAACACAGCGATTGTTTTTTATGTTGTGGTGGAGCCTGCGAGCTTCAATCAGAAGAGAGACTCTTCTGCACAAGGTCTTATGTGAACACGCTACAGAGGGACGTGGCCTCTGAAAACATTCATGCTGGGTAAGAGCAGCTGGGAGTCAGTCAGTGCATCTCCCAGAATAGGCTGGAGCAGTCCACAGCAGTAGAGGTTCATGTCATAGAATCACAGAATCATTAAGGTTGGAAAAGACTTTCAAGATCATCAAGCCAACCGTCAACCCAACACCACCATGTCCCCTAAACCATGTCCTGAAGTGCCACATCTACACGTTTTTTGAACACCTCCAGTGATGGTGACTCCACCACCTCCCTGGGCAGCCTGTTCCAATGCCTGACCACTCTCTCCATAAAGACATTTTTCCCAATATCCAGTCTAAACCTTCCCTGGCGCAACTTGAGGCCATTTCCTCTCGTCCTATCGCTGGTTACTTGGGAGAAGAGACCAACCCCCACCTCACCACAACCCCCTTTCAGGTAGTTGTAGAGAGCGATGAGGGCTCCCCTCAGCCTCCTCTTCAGACTGAACACCCCCAGTTCCCTCAGCCGCTCCTCATCAGACTTGTGCTCCAGACCCCTCACCAGCTCCGTTGCCCTTCTCTGGACACGCTCCAGCACCTCAGTGTCCTTCTTGGAGTGAGGGGCCCAAAACTGAACACAGTATTTGAGGTGTGGCGTCAAAGGGTGACCTCTTGAGGTTAATAGCTTCTTATTTAAAAAGAAAAAAGAAAACATAGGAACTTCTCTTCTAGGGGCTCTGAAGCCCTGCTGACCCTGTCCCTGTGAGCTTGACTTTATATTGACCAGAAAACAGAAAAGACTTAATTGATTTATAACATTTAAAATATTTTAAAAGCAAGGTAAGATTTCTGAATTAGGAAAAGGCAGAGTACTAGTTTTATTACTTTTTTTTTTTTAAATCAGAGATGTCATACAGAAAGAGAAAAGACAAGTTTAAAAGACTGATAAAAAACCCACACTCTAAAAAATATCATTTGAAAAAACAGAGGAAAAGCCCAATGTATACCTTTTAAAAAGAAAAAATAAAAAAGATGCTGCAATAAAAATTTACAATGAAAAAAAAAAACCCCACCACAAAGTGAAAATCTGGCACAGGACAAAGATAAATTCTCATTATCATGTCTCAAGTCATACACAAGCTACCTCTTAGCTTTAATGTAAACATTGTTTTCTCTGTCCTCCCACCACTCATATCTGCTTTCAAGGACAGGAGTACATTTTGCCTTCCGCTTAGATTAGGGATGTATTTTATTCTCCTGATAGTCTGTAAAAAACCAGAAGCTTTTTGAGCACTATTATATCGGTGGGGTGTATTACACACCACTACGATAAACCTACAGCTTTACTTTCCTAATCACAGTGTTTCACAAAACTCAGCTGCAAGACTACAATAACACAAGTTAATAATGCACTCGCTTAATTCCAGCCATTAAGGATACCTTAATGGTATCCACGTTGCTAATTCAGCAAAAGACAAATCCTTTATATAATCCTACATTTTCTTTTTGCCTATCTTTTTCTTGTAGTTCTTTATTTATTCTTTTAAAGGATGCAGTCTACTCCCTCACGAAGGAAAGCTGCTGTAGCAGCAACCAGACTGGAGAAAAAGCCAGCCGGTTCCTTAGCTAATGGTGGGAAGAAGAGGCGAGTCTTACCTGCAGTGCACCGTAATCGGGTGATTGCCTGTTTGCTGCTGCTGCTTTTGGACAGCTGCAATCAGGTCGATCATCCCTTTTCCTTCTGCAGGAATCCCGATTTCTGGCCACCCATGGAAATGGAACTGCCGAACAAGCCTGCTTTGTTTCTCCTGGTTACCCTGCGTGCAGGAAACCAACAGATTTATCCAGTTGTTACTTCAAAATGGAAACACACTTCTCACCTTAAATATTCATAGCATCAATTTTGTGTGGAGGGGGCTATTTGCAACCTTTGCAAGGTCCAAAATATATTGGTCATGCAGACCTGATAGTTTCTAAATTCCCCATTTACTATGCTGATAATTTACCCCTAGAATTTTCCTTTGATTTGCACAGCTGCTTCACCTGGGTAGTACTAAGGAGACACTTAAAGATTACTCATCCTGAGTACCAATGGTCGAAAGCTTTCATCATGCACAGGCCAAATCCAAAGTGTCATTAAAACAACCCAATAATTCATGAAATGCACTCATTTTTGCACAACGCTACCTGCTACCTCGAAACTTAACAATTATTTGCCTTGTCTTTATGCTCGCTGATTAAAAGCACACTAAAAGTTCAAACAGGTATTGATATCATGCTAAGGCAGTTAGCTCCAGCCAGGTTTGGATGCACAAAAGCTCTTCATTTTAACTACCCTGAAATTTTTGCTTGCTCTTTCCCATGACGCATTATCGTAGCATATGGATGCAGCATTAATATTCTGGCTATTTTATTGCATATCATCAACTCTTGCAAGCCACAGGGAGTTGAAAACACTAGGTCTCTGCTGATGCTAGGTGCTTTCAACGTGTCCACTAGAGGGGACACCTGGTGAATGAGTTTGATGGAAAGTCTCAGGACCCTGTTTTGTATTGGAAGCCTGGAAGCTTCACTATTATGAGGAAAAAAGCTTGGTCAATCCTCTTTCCTCCCAGCTCTGCGGGAGATCTTTTAACATAACACTGCTTCAAATATCATCAATGTGGTCTAGCTGGACTCAGGCACAACACAGAAGTTGCTCAGATTTCTTAGATGTGCCACAGCAAACACTCGTAAAGACGCTGGATTGTAGTGCAAGAACGTTGCTGTTTGGGTATTACCTAAAACGCTGTTACTCGAGTTTTAAATACTTTCCAACGTGACAGACGTCAACACATTGACCAGGGCGCTCTGCTTTGTGAAGCACGGTCTGTATTCACGCCTAATCCACCACTCTCCTCCTTAAGGAAATACAGCCTACTTTAAAGTCCTTTTGCTTTGCATGTGCCAACTATTTAAGTGCATAAATTACATGCAATGCAATAAGTAGTTAAATGAATTACATTCTTAACGGCAAGTAATTCACAGAACCACAGAATCATTAAGGTTGGAAAAGACCTTTAAGTGGTGAGAAGTAAAAGACCACCGTGCCCACTAAACCATGTCCTGAAGATTTTTCTTTTTGTTGTTTTTCAAAAGGAGCAATACAAATCAGATCCTAAAGAAATGATGCTGTCAGTGAAGAGATGCATGCCCAAAAGATCAAAATCAGGTTCTAAGTGCCTGTAGCAGAGCAACAGGGAAGAGGAAGAGCTGGTAGGCAGAGGCGAGTACATGTGCTGTTAACACGCTTCATAAGATTCAAAAATACTGAATCAAATACTCTTTCATAGAAATGTGGGAGATGGGAGAAAATACAAGAATAAGAGCAACAACAACAGCACATTAAAAACCCAAAAACTAAAACCTCACACCCCACTTTGATCAAGGACGTGTTTTACTGACCAGTATTTTCATACGGCTTTATGCAAAAACGTTTCATATAAGCTTCCTCTTGACTTATACACTGCGGAATGATTAACCAACCACCTTCACCTTTAGATAGGAATTCCAGCATTTAAGTTACATAATCAGATTTGTAAATGCCTTCAAATGCAAAATAAACCCCTCATGTACTTTAAAAACATTACCTGATTGTATGTAACTATGAAGTCCCTTACACTTATGGCATCTAACAGACTGTCATTCTTTATTTCTACGGTTATCTCTCCGTGAGTTACAGAGCCCTCTGATGGCCAGTACTGGCAGCATTTTTCCTGCAAAATTGAGAGAGAATTATAAACGTTCTTTGAAATTCTTTCCAGTTACCTACACCATCATGAATCTCTCCTATAGGATATGACATACAGCGTAAGAAACGTGTTCTAAACGCTTTGTAATGGAAAGTCTAATAACCAAGAATACATAATAAAATATTTCTATAATACAAACTATTAAGATGAAAAGGACTTAGAAGTCACAGATGGCAAATATTACTTTAAAACAAATTAGAATAAAGTGACTCCTGGAAGCAATGCAACGCTGTTAAAAAGCCTCCCAAAACCACCAACAAAAAACATTTCCCAGCTCCAAAACACCCCGGTTGCAGCACTGAACACCGAGTCTTCAAACTGCAGCACACGAAGGTATATGGGACTCTCTTCATTAATGAATGATGTACTAGGAGAGGGTCAGAATAAGCCACTGGGGCTCATACTGGCGGAACAGGGAGGGAAGTTTTCACAAAAGCTTTGTGCAGCTGTTTCAAATCCCAACTGCTCTTCCATGTCAGGCATCCCTGTACGTTTTGTGCTTTTAGCGTGACCTGGGCGCTTCCGCAAACCATAGTTTTCATAGTTTTGGTGGGTTTTCCGACAATTCAAGCAAAAGCAGCAACAGTGTCCCACACCAAACCGTGAAGCAAGAGCTCATCTCAGGAAAGGCAAAAAAATCTCGTATCGCTACGATTTGTAGGCAACAAATAGTTTATCTAATAGTAATGCTCATTATTTTACAGGTGCGAACAGCAACTGCTTTGCTGTGGAGCTGGCAGCTGCGGGACACATACCTGCTCCCTCTCCTGAACTTCTGTGAGCATAACGATGGTGTGGCACTTCCACTCCCACACCATCCGCCAGAAATCCTCCACCGTGTGCGGAAGCGGCCCCTGGGTGGCAATGAAGTAATCCTTCTGGCGATAGCCCTGCGGAGAAAGACCAGGATCCGCTTATGTCGTGACACGCGAGTACAAGGGAAGAGGGACGGAAGGTGACGGTCGGAGAGGAGATCACTACTTCATCTGAGGCTTCCCGTGAGCCCCGCTGCTTGACAATGTGATGGGTACTGCAAATCCGGCGACACTGAGACCACCTGATTCTTGCTCGTTGCCAGAAACACAGGAAAAAATCCCCCAAATTCACAATCCCGAGTTGTATTTTAAGACTTCCTTGCAGTCATGACTGAAGGGATGAAATTCTGTAGTAACTGAAGGATTTCACAATGAGATTATCGTAGTTCTGTAGTAACGCTGATCGCTGCAGTTGTTAACTTTTAACTCAATTTTTGAGCTACAGTTCTATTTACATACTGAGGTGATCTTCACAGCTGTAGTATCCACAATCCTCAATCACTAATGGGGTTTTACTGCTTAAGAATATAATTAATTGTCATAGTTAAATAAAAATAAGACATGGTGGAAGGTGTTGTCCAGTTTCCAGTAGGAAGCCAGGGACAAAGTTAGGAATTAACACAGGTCTGCTCAGGTAAATCCTGGCTCCCAAACACTGTGACAGCCTTTCCCCATGCTAACTATGGACTTCACTTTTTCCTTGCCTCAGGAGAGCACATACGTACATCCATTAACCTGAACACAGATAACGGAATGTTGGATGTTAGTTGTACAGCCAGTTTGTTTCGCTGCCTGTTCATTAGAATTTAATAAAAACCTTAATTTATAAGTCTAACAACCACCAGAATGTTTAAATTACACAACCATTTAAACTGAAATTGAAAACATCAGATAAGAAATCTATTTGGAAACTCTCATAAGCCGAAGCCAAACAAAAAAGCTAATGTTCTTCATAAGCCAAGTTGATTGCGTCTCTTTAAAAAAATGTATCAGCAACAGCAAAATATTTGACTTGCAATTTAAATACATGAAAAGTTTTTATACATACATCTATGAAGGAAGCATTGATGTAGTCTGTATACTCTTGCCCTCTTTTCATGGAAAGAATCACTCTGTTAAAATCATCTGGGGGAAAAAAAGAAGTCTAGTCTTACTTCTGCTAACTGCACGTTGAATGAACAAAACCAACTAAATTTTTTCTCTGAAAGCCAAAGAGTGTCTCAAAGATTCTATTTAGGGCTAATAAAGATACTATAAATCCTTATCCAGGATTCAGTAAGTGTGTGGAGTAGGGCACCAGTTTTCCTGCTGTTGTTTTGCCACTCACACAGGACGTGGCCAGCGAGGTCTGAAACTCTCATTTTCAGGTGCAGACATTACAGTGCTGCTCCAGACTATGCAAGGAATCACACAGAAAGTGTGTTGGTTTAAAAGGTGGAACTGCTCAATTATTTAATTCAGTTCTGAAAAATATCTGGTTGTAATATATTTTACATTGATAAAGTAAAAAACAATTCATTAAACTGTTTGCAGACACTTCATAAAGGCATTACACTTCATAAGGAAAGGACAGTGCTGATCGTATCAGTAACTTCCTTAGAAACTTAAGAGCAGACATATCTGCAAAAAGGATGACAAAACCGAGGGGATGGCTAACAGAAAGACCCAAAAAAAGGTGTTCTAGCTAAAAAGGAAGCAAACCCAAAAACTACCACTCCAAACAGTACAATAGGTTTTGAGAGCATTTGAATTTCACAGACAGAGAAGATAAAATTTTCCTCTAAGACACAGGCAGTAATTATTTGCACAATTCCATTTTCCAAATTCGGGCAGGACCTCTATTCTTGAGTTATCCCAACAGAGCTGTATTCTGGTATGAGCTGGGTTGCTGTCAACATACAGACGTAGCGTGCACTCACGACAGCCTTAGGACTATCACGTATTTCTAGCACTTGTTTCTCTATGTAAAAAGTTGATCTCTTACATGGGATAATCTGGATGACTCTAGCTTTCTTCATGTTTGCTGGAAGATTGCCAGTTCTCATGTTTTCTTTCATTATTCGAACATTTGTTAACTTCTGTAATAAAACACACGAAGGAGGATGAGAACTCATTGGAAGAGAAGCGGTTCTCGCTCACCATATCCTGTACTCAGAGGGTTCCTAAGTGCCTTCATCAGGTACAAAACACCAACAGTCGAAGTAAGACTGGCTTTTCACAAAGGCCATTTCATTGTCCCATCTATAAAAATGAACTAAGAGCAACAGTAATGTCGTTTTTTCATACTGATAAATATTTAAGAATCCGAACATACTCCCAAGGCACATCAATAAAGATTAGAGGGCTGTAAAATAACAGCAGATTTTAACCTTTTGGGTCTGGGTTTTGTATTCTTTTTGGAGGGTCTGGGTGTGGCTTTCAGAAGCACAGAGTACCTATTCCCTTTGAAAAGCTCTAAGTTTCTTAAATTTGACATTTGGAAATTTAGTTTCATAAAATTAGCCACTTTTGAAAATACCTTTTAATAAAAAGATCTGCATACCATTTTATCAACATTAATTTTATTTTCCTCTTTCCAGCCTCCAGGTAAGCAGAGGCAGACTGACCAGCACACCGGCCACCATTTATCTCCAGCAGCAGCGCCCGACGAGGAGCGCTGCCAACGGGCACTCCAGTAACAGGCTTTTCATTTCCACATTGCTCTCAAGCACTGAAAAACTTCTCTTTTATAGATTTAACTTCCTTTATGATCAAAACATGACCGGAATTCATATTCATATTAACTTCACTCATATTACTATTACTACAATCCTGTTCTGAGTATTAAAACCCTGGTCCTTTAGTTCTGGCCCGTGCTCTCCCTGCGGCACGCCACCAGATCCTGCAACCTGGCTCTATACATTTTCAAGCTTTTGCTAATGAAGGGACCAATATTCCTTATTATTTATTAAGTTTGGGCTGACAGCATTCCCGGGACACAGAAGACAAACACTGTGCTTTCCCCAACATTTTATTTACACCCCCTCAAGACTGCGCAAGACAACACAACATTAAGCTGCTTCTGCCGGGGTGGGACTTACCGGATAATGATCATAGTTACACGGTTGCATTTCAGCAACTCTTTAATATAAATTCAGTTTACATTACAATTAATTTAATTTTCAAACTACAAGCACATTTTCAGGCACTTAGCTGTATTTGCCAGGTACCGAAATTCAGGAGCAGTTCTCAATTCCAATAAAATTTCTAGAATTGGCAACAAACTATTAAAAAGAAACCCCAGCCTCTGAGAAATCACTTTTCAGCTACTCTGTAATGCTGTGTTCAAGAGGCTTTCTGTCAGAGACTCCCATACCAGTACAACATAGCTCTACTCTCTTCTTGCTGCAGGTGGGCTCAGTGCTCCCGGGCCATCTACATGCTTTTCAGAATACATGGCAGAACTAAACATCGCTCTCTGCACTGTAATGCAGTCTTGCTGGCATGGTAGACAGCAAAAAAAACCTTAGGAATTCCAGAAAAAGTAGACTACTCGATGTTTTCCTTCGCTTCCTTCTCTCAAACAGACCAATACTTTTGATTTCTGAACTTGTTGCTATATCAGACTTATTTTTACATAATTTTCTTTTCCCAGTTCCCAATTTCTAATTAAATTAATCCTTTAAAGGAAAGAGAGAACTCCAGTTAACACTTATACATCACTCAATGCTTCAGACCTATACATAGCATAAATATTTTAGCATAGCAAAAGTCATAGAAAAGTTCTATTTCCTCAGGACAATAACGTCTATTTTAAACACTGATCACAAACAGCTCGTGTTGTTGCTTTCTGCATTTGGGGTTTCTCCACTAAACAGAAATGCTTTGTTTCCTTTTTTGTTCCTGACAGGTCTGGATATTCAGCACAAGATGTGGAAATTCTCTGCAATTCTCTCTGCCATCAGTCGTGACGGAGTTAACAACACTCTTGAGATGAAAATTAGGTGCACGTCATCCAGTGCCCTCTTGCAGCATTATCAGATCTGGCATCTAGTACCAGACCGAAAGAATAATTCCATTTTTCTTTTATAAACAAACAGAACGCATATAGGAAAAGGTCCGTAAGACGATGTAGCTTTGAATGAGCGTTTTCAGAACAGGATGTTAAGCAAGGCCCCATTCACCGACTCCGCAGGACCCATTCACAACAAGCACAAAATATAACAAGTCGTTCCGTTTTGATGGACCTTTTCTTTTAAGGCTATATTCTTCCCGCTTTTGAAGTATCTTTTTGGCCTAAGCATTTCCACACTTAGAAATCCTATGGCAAAGGACTTTCATACTTACTTTAAATTCTTCTTCCAGCCCTATTTTGACAAGGTTTGGCGCTGTGTTGTATGATGTTTGTAGATGTTTTTCTAAGGATGACACATCTAGCTCTGTGTCACCGTAGAGGTAGTATTCAAGTAAGGCTTGATAAATGAAGGAGTATTGCATCTGCAACGACCAAAGAGGCAGGTAAGCATACTGCAAAGCGAGGAAGTGCAACTATGAATTCTGGCACTTTCATCTCTCTCATTTGGTCTACAATTTACTAATTATCAAAATATACCTTAAGCTAAAACAGAGTTTTCCTGTTCTATCACTCACATTCTCTAAAACTCCACTCTGTGCATGGGGAAACCTGGACATGATACCCAAAGATAACGTGCCTTACAGTGGTTTCACAGCCCTAACTTGCCTCTATCCTCTTCCCCAACCCCATCCTTCTACTGGGCTTTGTTCGTTTGCCAATTATCCAGGTGTGCAACAGAATGGGCTGCATATCAGAGTGGAAATACAGAAGCATATTCTTCTTTTGACTGCAAAAAGTTGTCATTTCAACCGATTAAAGTCCGCTTACGTCAGTCTGAACCATCTGTGGACGCTGATTACGAATTCTTGAAACAAACTCAAAAACATCAACCTTCTGTTCCGCGTGCATCATGTCTATTATGGCATCTATAACGATAAACGTGCCCGTGCGACCCACACCAGCGCTTGAAAAGGAAACAAAAAACAAACAAAACAAAGCTCAGGTGAATTACAGGAATTGCTACAGCAATGACACAGGTAGAACTTATGCTGTTTATACTGGACTGAAATACTGTGAAACACAAAATTTCAATTTTTATTTTAGCTATGATAGCAACAAAAAGCAGTCTAAGTTCTTAACAGGAGAAGTCACCTCTTCACAGCTCAAGAAATTATGAGATCAAGATTATATTAGAAAAGACCTTTGGAAAAAAATTGTGCTTAGCCAGCTATAGTAATTCAGTCTAAGATAACATTTAAATTTTTTTTTCTTAGTTTTTAGCTCTTTTTTGCGTGGTTGCTGTCGCATACCAATTAGATAATAGTTACTTGTTGCAAGCTCTACGCTTTTAACACTGCCATGCCCAAGTATTTTTTTTTATATCATTCAACAGCCACGAGAGGGAGCACGATCATTATAAATTATCTACTCTGGCGACTTTCAGCTCTTCCTTTCAGAGGAAAAGGGCATGGCATCCTGTGCTAAGCGCTAATGGCTCTCCTTTAGCCTTCTGTGAGCTTACTTTCTACAGCAACTGCCATGGTGTCCGCAAGCACCTTCTGAAACGCGACAAAAACCTCTCCCCCCATCCCGGCGTGCCCAAAGATACAGATCAATTTTCAGCCAGGAAACACTAGATATTAAATAACGCCAGAAAAAAAAATATTGCGTGCATAATACAACTTAGTTCATACATAGACACATTCTTTCAACAGCAAATGCCACCAAACGTAACCAAAGCCCCCAAACCCTCTTATGGGATGACCGAGACCAGCAGACCCATGGAGCACCACAGCCCTCCTCCAAAACTTCACCCACCTCCTTCACAGCCAACAAGCCCACTATAACCTTCTGTCTCCAAATGCCTTTGCCTTTAATCATCGGTTTGGCGGGCGTCCCTCTCCCCGCGCCCAGCCGCGTCCCGGTCCAGCGCTCCCACCCCCCAGTCCCCTTGGCCCCTCTGCGGCCATTGACCACCAGCCACCGCAGCTTCCACCCCACGGTGGCCAAGGCTCCCTGCCCTCTCGCTTCCTTTCACTGGTGTTTGACCTCTGCCACCGCGGACGAGTCCACCTCGAGTCCTGCTGTCTCGACTCTCAGTTTAGAGAGATCTTCCTCTTCCTGACGTGGCCTGGAAACCACCTCTGAGCGTGGGCTGCTCATCGCCAGGTCACGCTTGCCCTTCTTCGCTCAGTCCTGTGAGCTTTTTACCCATCGAGCCCCGCGCTCAGCTTCCTCACGTCTCTTCCCTTTGCAGAGACAATCCCTTTTTACACGTCCTTGTTCCCTCCCCGTGCCTCTGCCCCAAGGTTACCTTACTTCAGATCAGCGCTTCATTTAATCCTTGCGCGTTCCTGCTAAAGCTGGTAATTCCACCAACCTTCACATTTGCGCCTTGGAAGTTCCCTGATTTTATCCATCCTTAACCTCCTCTAGGGTACCCCTTACTGAGCTATTTCTCAACACAGCACTCTTCCCTCCCCGTGCCTCTGCCCCAAGGTTACCTTACTTCAGATCAGCGCTTCATTTAATCCTTGCGCGTTCCTGCTAAAGCTGGTAATTCCACCAACCTTCACATTTGCGCCTTGGAAGTTCCCTGATTTTATCCATCCTTAACCTGGGGTACCCCTTACTCAGCTATTTCTCAACGCAGCACTCTGCTCATCAAAAAAGTGTATTTCTGAAACTTCCGAAGAAAAAGGATTGGCAGAAAATCCTGCTCTCCCCTCCCCATTTATCTGCTCTTCTTTACTTCCAAATGCTAAATTAGTGTTTTATTAACTTCCAAAAGAGTCCGATTGAGCAGTTTTTGTCAGAATGACTGGGTGATGTTTTTACAAAAGCTCGCTAAAAGTGGATGGTTACTCACTATCGATGAGTTTCCCTTTCCTTTTTTCAACAATTCAATAGTGTCATATCCTGAACTGTAACGGAAATTAAGTGTCACTTCTCTTGCTCTTTAATTCTAATGCAGACTGGAGTACTGCTCTAGCCCCCAGCACTGACACGTAACGGTGTTACTGTGTTCTGTTGGACCATTATATTTGAATCTCTGCAGATTTTTATTACGATATTTTATATTGTCCTTTATTTCGTCTCTACGTCTGCTGATTAAACTAAGTACAGAATTTCCTGCTGGGACAAAATTAAGCTCAAACCCAATATGAGTCTCCACAGAACATCATGGCAAAAGGCTATAAAAATAATGTGGGTTTCTCAAAGGAAAGACTACATGAGACTATTAAAATCTTATTTTTCTATTTCATGCTTTTATTTAAGCCTCCTGTGTATGACACCTGGAAGAGATGAATCCTAGCAAGGCAAGGTCTGGATGGAAATGAAGAAACAAAAAATCTGGCTTGGTCAGGACAAACACGCTCTTTTTCAATAATACACACTTCAAGGACTCTTGGAGAATATTTCTAGTTGTCTGACACAAGCAAGAGAAAAAGAAACAGATACATGAATCTACAAGCATTTCCGTAAAAACAAAACCCAGAAAGACAAAGCTGCTATTCTTTTTTTTTGAACCTCACTATGATAATTGCTCCTGAAAAGACACTTCTTACTCAGTTCTCAGCTTACAGTTGCTACAGAGATTGCAATTATTCTTTCTTAAAACTGATTTGGAGTTTGTTTGTGGTTTCATTAACATAAGATTTCAAACAGTTTAGGACAAGCCTTTAATAGCAGGAAGTTCATGTGTGTGTGACCGAATGAGTGGGACTACATTCTGTATTGGTATGTAAGGACATTTTTAAAATTGTAGCATTTAAGTCTTTTAAATGCAAGCCTTTATTCAAAACTTTCTGGGTATTTAACAGGTAATTTACATAGCAAAATGCAAATTTATTGTGAGAGAAGTGGGGGTTGAACTCTCAGAGGAGCGTTTAGTGGCAAAGATTGCAGATTTGTATTACATGTCTGTTTTTCTGACAAAGAACATATTTATACCAAACACTGGGTATCACTCAGGGATAAAAACAAAACAAAACAAAACAACAACTTATGCTTAATTATTAAAGTGACAGTGAAGACAGATCTTTTGAAATCTTTTTACCCTGGGCTCTCAAAAACCTCAGTATATTATTGCCCTTACATATATAGATACACACACACACACACACACAAACTTCGTAGCTTATGAACAGAATAAAATTTAGCCTCGATATTCTACATGTAACACCAGGCCAAGCTAAGAGAATGGCTTGAAGAGCATATACATACCTACAGTGAACTACAATTGGTCCAGCATGGGCAGGATTCAACGTTTTGACTTTTTTCAGGAATTTCAGCATCCCGATAGGTGTGAAAGGCACGCCGAAATCAGGCCAGCTGGTGAAGTGAAGCTGCGTAACGAGCCTCGGAGCTTTACAACCGTCATGAAGCTGTGGGGAACACACAGACTCTGAGCCTGACATTTCATTTTTCATGTAAAGATCTATAAACAAGCTGCTCTAGTTATAAATAACTTTAATTCCTGCAACACTTAGAGCCTGACTCAAGGATTAGAAGTTTACACTGTACATAAAATACAAACACAGAGTAAAATTACCATGTATTATTAAAATGCATCTTTGCAGTGAAAACTGGGATAATCCCAGGATAGAATTGCAAAGAGTAAGACTCTCAATTTATGTTGATAATGGATTAAATCCTAAGTTCTTTTTCACTTATAAAATCTTCACACTTCTTTCAGCAGCCTCAGACAAAACTCACAAAATTCATCCAAAACATTCAGGATCTGCATCGCTCTGAGAGGCCAAATGCCAGTTTTTGCCAAATCACATACGAATAATGAAAGAAGAGCTGCACCTCTAATGGCCAGCCACTGACAGGTTCATGATCTGACCTACTCCTCGAGAATAAAAGAGAAGACACTGCAGAAGCCACGACAGCAGCGCTCAGCATCGTTTCACCTGCATTCACTAACCACAACCTACCCTTAAGATTAGAAAGCGTATCTGTCTCACAAGCCTTCAGTCTGTTAGCCAGGGTCAAGGCCATTTCTTTCACACTGGAGAAAGCCAACTGGTTTTGTAAGGTTGCCTTGTCTCCATCAATGGATAACCAAACCCTACAAACACATACTCAGCAGAGATCAACAAGTGAAAGGCTGCTGGGTCCATTAACTCCCCAGCCCTTCAGCTTATCCACAGCACGTACAACTCTGCACCGTTCCTTCTCTCCCATTGCGCTTTCTGAGCACAGTTCCTCTGAGCGTTTTTATCAGCGATGCCTTATCAGCGATCACTAGTCATACCAAAGTGATCTCCACGCTACATCAGCAGAGACTGCTTCACAGTTCAGAATCTGTCACTAACGCTGAATGAACCCACCCATATTTTGAGGGGTTCTGAGCTCTCCATGTAGTTCTACAGAGTCATAGGCGGTTTATCACCTCTCACCAGCCCATACTGTCTTCATTCTTCAATCTGAAGTAGACAGTGATTGCATTACAAACACAGCAGCCCTCCCTTTAGGGGGTGAGGATCTCTAGCAATTTGCTCGCATACAAGGCTGCACACTGTGGACAAGAGCGAAGTCATCCCCACCACCTCTCTTGTGATCTAAACCTTTAACTCGTGCCAGAGACCAAGGATACAAAAGCAATCAAGCTGCAATGCTGGCTGGCGTTGGCCAGCTAATATCCACTACTGGAAATACCCCAAAATATCCAAATTCACTCATTTATTTATCTATGCAATTTGTCCCAAAAAAGGGACAAGACACTGCTCCTATGGTCCCTCCCTGACAGTCACAAGGAATGATTTTCCGTGGCCCTTGGCTACAGACAAGAAGAAACGGGGCAGGATCTCTTGCAATCCATTAAAGCACGCTGTGCGTGCTGACCTGCGGAGCTTGCTTCCCTGCCTAGGAGAGGTGCCACACCTTTCTTGATTTGCAAATACGTTTAACTAATTTCCTGAATTTCTTTTAAGCAAATATTTGACATGGCAACAATCTGCTTTAAAAGTTAAAATGAAGACCCAGCAAGAGCATTATTGTTACTTACCGACTGAACGCAGAACTTGCGGATGGTGTAGTCCACCAGAACTATGCAATCTTCCACTGACACACGGATATTTCCGTAAGTCCAGCACCCTTGGTCAGGCCAATACTGGTAACATTTTTCCTGTACAAACATACAGTGAGCTTTAAAACACTGCTCATAAAGCAGTGAAGTTACTTGAAAATAGTCTACGTAGGTATGCATACAAGTATGCAGAGTTTCTCATCTGGCACAACACAGCTTTAACACTTTGCTAGTGCTGTTGATGCTTAAATTTATGCAGAGAAGGTGAGAACAGCTTTGAAGTTGTTTTTTAACCTAGCCAGACCTAAACAGCTTTGGTTTGGGTTTTTTGTTGGGGGGTGCCTAACCGTTGGGACTGTGACGTCCTGACTATTTCTAAGCTTTAGGTGTAGTCGGTGAGAAACGTGAAGCAGTCCTCATTTGGAGTCACCACGAACAACCAGATTTAACAGTTCTGGCTTCTCATATTGGGAATGAGCTCTTCTTAGGGACTGCCTCTGCTGTTTGAGCTTCATCAAGCAATACTACAATTGCAGTAAAATAAAGCCTAAGTACCACCGTGAAGAGGCAGACAAGGAATGCCCGTCCTCAATAACTGGGGTGAGCTGACAGTATCTGAATTATCTTTTTGGTTTTGTAAAAAATGCACAAAATAGGTACGAAGGCCAACTTTCACACAGTGATACGGCACATCATGTCTCACAAGCACATCCTCACCACCTTCCTAAGGCCAACTATTGCTGCTTATCCCCGTATTTCCCCACTGGCAGAAGAGGTCACCCTTGGTGGGCAAGAAAAGCCCAGCTCTCTGGCCCTGGGTGGCTTCTGCCTCCTCCCTCTCCTCACTCCCACAACCACTGGGGAAATAAGTTTTTTTTTTTTCCCTCAGGCCTAAGTTTTTCAGGACTTTATATGTATTTCAAATAAGGATGTAGCATGCTCAGTGTGGCAAACTGTCCCCTAGGGAAAAGCACAGAATGAAAAAGCATCTTTTATGCTTCCGATGGCACATTTCCTTCATGTTTTAACTTAGCTTCTCAAGTCTGAGAAGCAGGGCTGGAAGTTCAATGTTTCACGCTTGTCGTGTGTGTCTCCGCCTTCAGCCAGTACACGCAGGAAGTCTCACGCAACAGGAGGAGCAAGACGCGTACGAGGAGGAATGGAAGGAACAGCATCACTCTCACAAGAAAGAAGTGTTGCTTTTTTAATTGTTAGGTGCATGTGCCAGAACGAATTTTGAAACCTAACTCTCAGAAAAATGAATAAAGCTTTTATCTTCATTTCTAACCAAACCCACCCACACGCCCAGCCTTATGCTGCGATAAAAACACAGGCACGAGAATTTGCCTTTGGCTGTGGGCTACGCAGGACAAAATTAGCTATCAGAAATTTTTCTTTGAGATCTACGCATATAGATTTGTATTTTGGAAACTAAAAGTACATTTATGAGCAGAAACTCAGATGTGCTAACAGGGACCGGAGAAGGAAGCGGTCAGAAAGGTGACTGGCCAGACGCTGAGCAGCCACGACTGCTTTTGAAGCACGCTCTCACAGAAACATCCCGGAGCAAACTGAAAGCTCGTTACCTCTTTTCTTTCTTTCAGGTTGGTTAACATGACGATCACAGCTGACTTCTGCTCCCATATCATCCTCCAGAAATCATTAACTGTTTCTTGCTTGGGTCCTGCAGACAGAATACAGGTCTGCTCAAGAGGGGGGACAGAGACCAGCATATTGCAGTACGCAGGAAAACCCCTCGCCCCTGCGCGCCGGGTGCCCACCCAGATCTGTGTTTTCTACAGACTGCTCAGGTTTTGAATATACATGTATTTCTTAAAAAAATCGTATTTTCTTTTACACAGTCATATGCACTCCAATCTACATTTCTAGCAGATACCTCCTCTCTTGAAATATTATTAATGCTCTTTTAAGTGGGCTATAGCAGGAGCATCGTCTAGGATTTCTACTTTGCAGCTCTCCCCCATGCCAAGGGCCAACATTACCTGTGCCCACAATTAACAACTGCCAGAGAGCCGCTCATCGTGCCATACAGCACAGGAGTTGTGTCTGGTATTGCAGTGACAAAGTTCTCCAAATTTGTGATTACAGCCTAAGAATTCAAGTGAAAATGCTAATTTCTGTATCAAGATCACTTAGACTGTATTATCAGGAGACATAATTTTTCAAAACCCTGAGTAAGCAGATTAAAAAAAGAAAAGAGAATCAAAGCAGGGGTGGAGGGGGGGGAAGGCAAGTCTCTTCGCTCAAAGCACTATCTGCGGGTCTAAAGGCAGTGGGTTACCTCACGCTCACTTTAATTTCACTTAAACTGTAACCTCAAAATCCCACCTCACATTTGGCTACCATCTGCAGCTGAAAATAACCTTTAAAACATGTCTAAAATTAAATACGTTCAGCCATAAGAATTACAGAATAGAGAAATGAGAATAAATTACCTTGTGCTGCTATGAATTTATTCTTTTCTTTATAACCCTATGGAAATAAATACCACAGCA